TCCTCTGGAAATTCTGTTTCTTTGTTATGGGGTGGGGCCACAACATTAGTAACAAAGAAACAGAATTTCTGGAGGATGAGGCCCAGAAATCAGGATTTTAAAAAGATTCCCAGGTGATTCTAATGTGCGGCCAAGGTTGAGAACCGCTGGTCTAGTGGGAGACACGGAGGGTAATGACAGCAATCATAATAACACGTAACGTGGTGAAAGACGGTGACCAGCGAGGTGAGGAGAGAGAGGCTGGGGGCCGCTGCAGCGTTAAGTAGATCTTTCTGAGAAGGTGACATTTAAGTCAAGAGTCAGCCATCTCGCCCGGCCGCACGGCTCCGTGGTTGAGCGTCGCCCTGTGAACCGGGAGGTCACAGTTCGATTCCCGGTCAGGGCACATGCCCGGGTTGCGGGCTCCATGCCCAGTGTGGGGCGTGCAGGAGGCAGCGGATCAGTGATTCTCTCTCACCATTGATGCTTCTGTCTCTCTCTCCCTCTCCTTTACTCTTAGAAATCAATAAAAATATATATTAACAAGAGAGAGAGTCGGCCGTCTGAGGGCAGGGCCCGTGCAAAGGCCCTGGGGTGGGAGCTGGGGCTTGAGTGAGGGAGAGGGAGGGAAACGGGGCCTCTGTGAGGACTCTGGCTTTCGCTCTGAGTGCAAAGGTCGCTCTCTCCGTGGAGCGTCTGTGCTGTGGGGGTGGCTTGGTTCCCGTGAGTGAGGCCCTTGCCCACGATGCAGGTACGGGCAGGCTGCTGTCCCTTCCCGCCGGCCCGTGGCACTGCCTCTGCCAGGAGGGTGGGCTTGGGAGCCAGGCCCCTGGCTCCCCCTCCTCTGCTTCCCACGTTGGTGGGTGCCCTGAGCCCTCAGGGACCCAGGCTGGGTTCAGACAGCAGCAGAGGGCCCTGCCCCAGGGACCCAGGCCTGAGCGGGCGGAGTTCTCCTGAGCAGAGGGCCCTGCCCCAGGCCCGGATCGGCTCGCAGGAACCCCCGGCGTCTGTGACCTGAGGCCAGCTCCACCATGAATCCGTTCCCGGAACCCACGTCCCCCAGGAGGGCCCTCGCGCCCGCGGCTCTGGGTCACGGGCCTCCCTGTTTCCCTCGCTGAGAGAAAAAGTAAATGCACTCACTGGCTGGAGTCGGGGCCAGCTGGCTTCCTGCGCTCCCCACCCCGCCCTTCCTGCCTCCCCGCCTGTCCCAGCCCCTAGGACAGGGCCGGAACCCCCGCCGCGCCCAGCCGCCACCTCTGTGCACACCTCAGGCCTCGCCCAGTTCAGTCCCTGGAGCCTCAAGGACGCTCTTTGTCTGTGGCCCTCTCCCCGCACCTGAATGTGCTGAATATAGCCTCCGAGTCACCGCCACAAGCCACACACCCCGCCCACAGCCAGACGTGACTGGGGCTCAGCCGGCCGGCTGACACACTGCAGGGTTCCGACCGCTGGGCGTGACGCAGAGGTCAGGCGACAGGGGTCCGGCTGGCCTCCCGGGAGGGGCTGGGGGGAGAAGCCCAGCGCGGTGACTCTTGCAAAGCCCGAGCAGCCCTGCCCAGGGTCCCCTTCCAGAACCCCCGCGGGCAGCAGCCTGGGGGTCATGCACCTGGGACCGCATCTCAGCCATCTGTCCCCTCCGCACACGACACGGGCAGACGTTCCAGCCTGTGCCCTCTGCCGCCACCTGGAACTCGGCTGGCAGTTCCGGAGCCGCTGTGCCCGACCCTCCGGCTCTCACATGATTCAATGTATATTGATGATGTAAATGGCGCCTCCCATATTTAAAAACCTCTTTGTCTGTGGCCCTCTCCCCGCACCTGAATGTGCTGAATATAGCCTCCGAGTCACCGCCACAAGCCACACACCCCGCCCACAGCCAGACGTGACTGGGGGTGCTGACACACTGCAGGGTTCCGACCGCTGGGCGTGACGCAGAGGTCAGGCGACAGGGGTCCGGCTGGCCTCCCGGGAGGGGCTGGGGGGAGAAGCCCAGCGCGGTGACTCTTGCAAAGCCCGAGCAGCCCTGCCCAGGGTCCCCTTCCAGAACCCCCGCGGGCAGCAGCCTGGGGGTCATGCACCTGGGACCGCATCTCAGCCATCTGTCCCCTCCGCACACGACACGGGCAGACGTTCCAGCCTGTGCCCTCTGCCGCCACCTGGAACTCGGCTGGCAGTTCCGGAGCCGCTGTGCCCGACCCTCCGGCTCTCACATGATTCAATGTATGTTGATGATGTAAATGGCGCCTCTCATATTTAAAAAAATATGTTTTTATTGATTTCAGAGAGGAAGGGAGAGGGAGAGAGAGATAGAAACATAGAAACAGCCCCCTACTGGGGATCGAACCCGCAACCCGGATGTGTGCCCTGACCTTGACCTCCTGGTTCACGGGTCGATGCTCAGCCACTGAGCCCGCTGGCCGGGCTGCAGTCTGTTCTGTAGGTCCATCCAATCAGGCTGGAAGGAGAGGGGGAGAGGGAGCTCGGTCTCACCCTTCTGCCCGGGGACTCCCCGCAGAGCGCTCGCTCGCGCCAACGAAGAGCAGAGAAGCCCAGAGGCCTGGGGCGCAGGTCGGGAGTGACACTGCCCGTGGGTCTCCTCCCCGCCTCCCTGTCCACAGAGGCTCTCCAAGGAGGTCCAGAACGCCCTGGCCAGAGCCAGCAACACGGCCGAGGAGACCATCAGTGCCATGAAGACCGTCCGCAGCTTCGCCAACGAGGAGCAGGAGGCGGAGGTGTACTCGCAGAAGCTGCAGCAGGTGTACAAGCTGAACAGGAAGGAGGCGGCCGCCTACACGTACTACGTCTGGGGCAGCGGGGTACGTGCCCCTGGCCCCGGGCAGGTCCGACCACGGGGACGGACGCGAAGGTGGGGGCCCCTTGCTCGGGACATTAGCTGGGTGCCTGCAGGGGGGCAGGCCGTCCCTGCTTGCTGCCTGTGCACGGGGACGCTTTCTAGGAAGGGACGCAGCTTCCGGGTGAGTGTCCCCACAGGGATCTCGCTGCCCCTGCGCGTGGGGTCCTGGGCCGAGCTCTCTTCTCAGCTGGGGAGCTCCCTGCCAAGGCCGGAGTCACCCCAAGGCCAGCCGGGGCCCAGCCTAAGCCCCTTTCTGGCAGGACGGAGGCCACCACTTACAGGCCCGGCAGAGGGCCTGGCTCACTCCCAGGATGGAGGTCACAGCCCCTCCCTGGGCGCTGGGGGCACGTGGACCCTGTCCTGTCTGCGGCCACATCTGGACAGCGGGCTCATCGGGAAACGGCTGGGCTAGGGAAGATGAGGGTTTGGTGTTCAGGGGAAGGAGGAGCTGGTGTCTACAGGGGACCCAGGGGACAGGGACCGTCGGGGTCCCCCCAGGGCAGGCCACCCCTCAGAAGTGCCCAGCCAGGAAGGGAAGGGCCTGAAACTCAGCTCAGCCAAGCCTCCCCGAGGTCTGTCCACCAGCAGGGTGCCCCTGGGGCTTGAATGGGTGGTCAGGGCTGCTGTCTCCACTCCTCCCCCAGAAACTGCCCCAGGCACTGGGCGAGGGTGGGGGGCAAGGGTGCTGGGACACAGCTCCTTCTTGGTGGAACCTGGGGGTGGGGGGGTGAGAAAACACAGACCTCACTGCCCTGCGGCCTGGCTGGCTGCGTGACCCTGGCCAGTGGACTCAACCTCTCGGATCCATGCTCTTCCCCGTGAGGACGAGGACGGACGGCTCCCGCTTGGCCAAGCCCAGGGTTTGGGGTCTGGTGTGTGTGCCAGGAACTCACAAAGACAGCCCTGTTCTCCGCCGGGCCCACGGCCAGCCCCAGCTGGGGACCTTTGCAGGGAAAACTCCACAGGGGAGGCGGGTGGGGAGGGCGTGAGTGACAGGCGGGCACCAGCCTGTGGGAGGGCGTTGCCGGCTGGGGTTCAGTGTGGGGCGGGAGTGCAGGGCCCAGGGCACCCCTCACCCCCCCCTGCAGCCCGGGGCGGGGGAAGGGGGCCGTGGGAAGGTGTGAGCCAAGCCTCCCGTGACCAACGCGCCACCCCCGCTCTGCCCCAGCTCACGCTGCTGGTGGTCCAGGTCAGCATCCTCTACTACGGAGGCCACCTCGTCATCTCCGGGCAGATGACCAGCGGCAACCTCATCTCCTTCATCATCTACGAGTTTGTCCTGGGAGACTGTATGGAGGTGAGGGGCCGGCTTGGGGCCGGGGGTGCAGGGAGCAGAGAGGGCTGTGTGACCTGGGGGAAGCTCCTTGAGGTCTCTGTGCCTCAGTTTCCTCCTCAGCACAAAGGAGGTCATGGTAGCATACCCACAGCACCCCACAAACGGTGTCATTAATACTCACATTTATATTTCACCCACGGAGATGTATAGTATAAATTAAGACCCCCCCTCCTTATTTTAATTGAAATCTTTCCAACGCTGTGGCAGCTGAAGGAGGAAGGTTCCGTTCCCCGTCCGCCACATTCTGGCGGTTTGGTTCCTTTAACTTCTCTGCTTCCCTTTCCTCGTCTGGGGGTGGTCACACCCACCCTGCGGGCGGCGCTGGGGTTTAGCGTAAATCTGGCCCCTCGCGTATCAGTATTTGTCACTCCTGTCCTCATTGGTCCTTGTCATGAGCTAGCAGGCGGGGCCTCCCGCAGCCCCTCCGGAATGGGTGCTGTGTCCTTGCTCTTCTCTCGCGCCCCTCCATCTCCTGGCACCATGGGTGGGGCGGGGGCGTCCCCGGAGCGGGGTCAGTGGGACAGGACGTGTCTCCTCGCCCCGCAGTCCGTGGGCTCTGTCTATAGCGGCCTGATGCAAGGAGTGGGGGCCGCCGAGAAGGTCTTCGAGTTCATTGACCGGCAGCCAACCATGGTGCACGATGGGAACTTGGCCCCTGACCGCGTGGAGGGCCGCGTGGACTTTGAGAACGTGACCTTCACCTACCGCACTCGGCCCCACACCAAAGTCCTGCAGGTGAGAGGGGGGCGCAGGCCTGCCCCGGTCATCCTTTCCCGCACCCCGTCTCTCACGCCTCCCCCACACCAGGCCTCCGGGCCTCGGCAGCGCAGCCAGCAGTCCGCGAGGCAGAGGCCCTGCGTCCGTGCAGTTTGGGTGCTAGCCAGGAAGGACTGAGCATTCGCAGAAGGGTGGTGCGATAGGAGTCATGCAGGGATGAGGTAACATAGCAGTCAAGGAGGGCTTCTCGGAGGAGGTGACATTTGAGCTGAAACCTGAACAAGACGCAGGAGCCAATCCAGGTTGCTCTCTGCAGAAAGAACATTCCAGGCAGAGGAGACAGCTATGAAAGTGCTGCCAGGTCCTGGGAAGGAGAGCATCCCGGGAGCCAGCAGTGCCCAACCGTGGCAAAGGGGCACGAGCACCTGAGCCAGGGGCCCACGCCGTGTCTGCGTGTTCCTTGCAGGACGTCTCCTTCAGCCTGTCCCCAGGAAAGGTGACTGCGCTCGTGGGGCCCTCGGGCAGCGGGAAGAGCTCCTGCGTCCACATCCTGGAGAACTTCTACCCCCTGGAGGGGGGCCGCGTGCTGCTGGACGGCAAGCCCATCAGCGCCTATGACCACAAGTTCCTGCACCGCGTGGTAGGTGGTGGGCCTTGCTGCCCCCTCCGCCCTCTCTGTATCCCAGCCGCTTTCTCGTGAGCAGAGAGGCGACTGGTGCCTTTCAGGGATGAATCACCAACGTAACTGCCCAGGTCACGAACAGAACACCCTGCCCCCCGGAGGCCCCCCTTGGAGCAACATCTCACCACCGTTAGGATCATAATTGTCTTTCTTTTTTCCAAACACGAGCGAAAGTTTATTTAGAAAATCACAGAGGCCCTGGCCAGCGTGGCACAGTGGTTGAGCGTCAACCTATGAACCAAGGGTCAGGGTTTCGATTCCCAGTCAGGGCTCAGGCCCGGGTTGTGGCCTCGATCCCCATTGGGGGGCGTGCAGGAGGCCGCTGATGGATGATGATTCTCATCACTGATGGTTCTCTCCCTCCCTCTCCCTTCCTCGCTGAGATTAATGAAAATATATATATGTTTAAAAAGAGCACACGGAGGGGGTGGAGACCTCCGTTCTTCCCCGCCTGGGACCCCCGGGCTGGAGGCCCCCCTTGGAGCAACATCTCACCACCGTTAGGATCATAATTGTCTTTCTTTTTTTCAAACACGAGCAAAAGTTTATTTAGAAAATCACAGAGGCCCTGGCCAGCGTGGCTCAGTGGTTGAGCGTCGACCTATGAACCAAGGAGGTCAGGGTTTGATTCCCAGTCAGGGCACATGTCCAGGTTATGGGCTCGTGCCCCAGTGTGTGTCAGTGTGTGTGTGTGTGTGTGTGTGCAAAAGGCAGCTGATCTATATTGAAGCTTCATTAATGTTTCTATCTATCCTGCTCCTTTCCTCTCTAAAAATCAATAAAAACGTATTTATTTTTGAAAAAAGAAGAAAGCCACACAGGTAGGAGAAGTGAGCCAGCTGGGCTGCATGGGCTCAGGAAACAAGTTATGGCGGCAGCAGAAGGGCCCTTGGAGCTGAGAGAGAGAGGAGCTGGGATCACAGCGCGGGCATTCATCCGTGTCTTGCTTCTTCCCTCGACGCTATTGGGAGTCATCCGGTTGAGGCTCTGGTTGTAGTTCATTCGTTTTCGTGGCTGGATGATAATCCACGGTAAACATGTCACAATGGATTTCTTTGTTCTGCCTTTAGAGGATATTGGGGTTATTTCCTGGTTTGGCTGATACCAGCAGCACTGACGTGGACAGCGGTGTCGTGTCCTGGTGCACGCAGGCACGTCCCTCGTTCCTGCCACTGGGCTGGCCGTGCCCCTCCACACCCACCAGCAGTGACGAGGGTCCCGGGGTCCCCGCTGACCTCGCCTCCAGTCCTTAACGGAGGCTATGGTGACCCCTCTGTACCTGACGCTGTGCTGACAGGGAGCGGGCACGCCCTGCACGGAAACCCAGCTGCTCAGGACGCACCGTTCGCATCACCGACATACACTAGGTCACGGGAGGGCCTGCGGTGGGCACAGAGGCCATAGGTGGTGGAGTCTGCCCACCCATGTGCACAGAACCTGGGGTGGGTGGCTGAGAAGTGGTCTCAGGCGTGCGGCCACCAGCTGCTGCCCCCCGGCATTCTGGAAGGGTCCCTGGGCAGAGCTGCTCAGGTTTGCAGGGGCGGCTACGCTCGGACGCGCGACATCCTGGTCCATCCTCGGCTGTTGCCCTTCGGCGGGTGGGTAGAGGGGGCTCGTGGCGGTGTTTCGCATTTTTCTAACGACATAAGGGTATTCACCACTTGGATTTCCTCTTTTGTGAAAACCTTTTCTTTCCTTTAAATTTAACATTTTTTTAAAAATATATTTTTTATTGATTTCTTACAGAGAGGAAGGGAGAGGGATAGAGAGTTAGAAACATCGATGAGAGAGAAACATCGATCGGCTGCCTCCTGCACACCCCTACTGGGGATGTGCCCGCAACCAAGGTACATGCCCTTGGCCAGAATCGAACCTGGGACCCTTCAGTCCCCAGGCCGACGCTCTATCCACTGAGCCAAACCGGTCAGGGCTAAATCTAACATTTTAATTCTCATAAATCCAAAACAAGAAAGTACAACATTCTAACCACAGTCCCGATTACTGGGGAAGTTTTATAACTCAGTCATGGGCGTCCCTTCCACCTCACCTTCCCATCCCACCCCGTGGGCGTAGCCAGTGCTAGCAGCTTAGTTAGTCAGTGTCCCTTCCTGCCTGTTTCCTATCTGTATACGAATGTGTTGATGTGTAAAGGCCCATGTGTCGTTTTTTAAAGGAAAACAGACTTCCCACCCCGTGGGCGTAGCCAGTGCTAGCAGCTTAGTCAGTGTCCCTTCCTGCCTGTTTCCTATCTGCATACGAATGTGTCCATGTGTAAAGGCCCAGGTGTCGTTTTTTAAAGGAAAATAGACTGCTGTGTGTGGGTATGACGATTTGATTTTATGGGTACACTGTAAGTATCTAATCCCCAATTTACAGACAACTAAATTTTTAAAAAAATTTTTATTTTGCTATTTACAATGTTGCAATGCTATCCTGAGTCCATACTATCATTTTAAAAATATTTTTTAAATTGATTTCAGAGAGGAAGGGAGAGGGAGAGAGAAACATCAATGATGAGAGAGAATCATTGATCTGCTGCCTCCTGCACCCCCCCACTGGGGATTGAGCCCACAACCCAGGCATGTGCCCTGACCAGGAATCACAGTTCGACGCTCAACCACCGAGCCATGCCGGCCGGGCCATACTATGGTTTTTGTGGACCAAATTCCTAAACGAGGACCATGAGGCAGGAGGGAGGTCTGCGGCCGGGCGTGCTGCACCTTCCTACCTCCCGGCAGGAGCAGACTCACTCAGAGCTGCTCTCTGCCTTCTTTCTCTCCTTTTCCCGGGGCAGGGCAGACCGCGAGCTCGGCCGGAGGTCAGGGAGCTTGGCTTAGCCCCGAGCGGCAAGCTGTGCGGGCCCCAGTCTGTGGGTCTGGGGAGGCCCAGGGTTGTGCAGACTCCATGGTTGGGAAGGAAGAGAGGCAGCTCAGTGCAGAGCCGCGCGGCCCGATCAGATTTCAGACCCGAGACCCCTGGCGTCAGCCAGCCGGCCGGGGCTGGCGAGGCTCCTGGTGACAGCTGGCTGCACAGTCCCGGCTTCTCAGATCGCCTCCCTCCTCCTCCTCCTCCTCTTCCTCCTCCTCCTCCTCTTCTTTCCTTCCTCCTCCTCCTCCTCCCCCTCCTCCTCTCCTTCCTCCTCCTCCTCCTCCTCCTCTTCTTCTTCCTCTCCTTCCTC